TAGTACAACAACTATGGAAAACACTGTGGAGATTCCTTAAAGAACTGAACATAGAACTATCATTTGATCCAGGAATCCCACTACTGGGTATCTATCCAGAGGAAAAGAAGTCATTATATGAAAAAGATACTTGCACATGCATGTTTATTGCAGCACAATTTGCAATTGCAAAAATGTGGAGCTAGGCCAAAAGCCCATCAATCAACAAGTGGATAAAGAAACTGTGGTATATGTGTATTTATATGATGGAATACTACTCAGCCATAAAAAGGAATGCATTAATAGCATTCGCAGCAACCTGGGTGGGACTGGAGACCGTTACTCTAAGTGAAGCAACTCAGAAATGGAAAGTCAAACATCGTATGTTCTCACTCATAAGTGGGAGCTACGTTACAAGGATGCAAAGGCATAAGAGCGATACAATGGACTTTGGGAACTCACGGGGAAAGGGTAGGAAGGGAGTGAAGAATAAAAGACTACAAATTAGGTTCACTGTATACTGTTTGGGCAATAGGTACACCAAAATCTCACAAATCACCACTAAAGGACTTACTCATGTAACCGAATACCACCTGTACCCCCCAAAACCTATGGAAATAATTTTTTTTAAAAGGTATTACTTGCTTCTGTAGATGAACTCTATCAAATCATTGGTGCTTTTCTCCTGAAGACACCAAAGTAATAAACAAAATGTGGAATCCATGGACTGTCCTGAGATACCAGAAGAAAACGTTACATCTCAGTCAATAAGATAAAGGTACCTGAACAAGGGTTCCTGGTGTATATTCTCCTTCATCGAGGACAAGTGTGGAGCCGTACCAGAAGGCCAGTGCATAACACAAAAAGATGAGACACCACACAAATCCAGTAAAGAATCCCATCACCATCCCTTTTCTAATTCCCCAACGCTGGGCAAACACAAGATTTTTCTCATACCTGTAAAGAGAAAACGTTTGAGTCAATTTCAGCAGAAACAATTCAAGTTATAATGTTTAAAAAGGGCCATGATGCAGTGGTTTTACAAAATGATCATAAAATCATCCCAAACACAGAGCAGTTTTAGGGAGAAAAATCTTCAATAACCTTTGCGTAGTTTTAAAAATTTTGTTTTAACCTGGCAATGAAATGTGTTGAAAGCATGATACTTAACAAGCTGCCTGACTGCTGCTTGGATTGCATAGTGAGGTAAGCTTGGCCCTGAGAGAAAAGAATTTTCAACACAAACGTATGAACAAGACAGATCTAGTTTTACTTGTGTTTGAAGTGTTTCTGAGAGACATATGATATGTTCCTATCAGAAAATTATGCAACTGGCTTTAAATAAGCAAATCAGACTATTTTGTTTCCAGATCCCCAGGCTTGGAACTAGTGTTTGCACCAACTCATCTATAACTCACCCATCTACCCTGCGGCTGAGATGCTGTGTTGTGACATACTGGTCAGGTTCACAGCCATGAGACATGGATAACTGAAGCTACGTGGAAGTCTCACACAAGGACTGGGTTTAGGTAATTCTATGGTCTCGCCATTAACAATGGGCATTGTCTCATATATAGCTCAGGCATTCTGAAGCCACCTTCCTACATCTCAAGAATTGAATTCATGGAGAACTTTTAACCTTTCACAGGATACAAACTGAAGGTCTATCCTATGTTTATTACCATTTCTAAAACACTATACTGCCTCTTTTATTGACAATAAACGGTAATGTCTTTCATGGTGAAAGAAATATGCTACTGAAATTTTTTACAAGAAATAAAGAACCTCACTCCACAAACCAAAAGAAGTGGGAAAAGGGGGGAAAGAGGATAATAAGAGGCTGTAAACCTATTCCCTTTTTTCCTTGGTGGATTTGGTAGCAACTGAGAATGACACCATCTTACCAAATCTACACCGTATAAAGTAAGATTTGCTATTCAGTTGGAAGTTGTTTTATAAAAATTAATGCATGGCACATAGTAAGTACTCAGTAAATGCCAGATAATTTAAAGAATAAACAAAATTACATTTTTGACAACTGTATTATTTTGGCCATTTGGGTTTTTCTTTTTATTAAGCATTAATCTCTAGAATAATGATCTATAACTTATCAATGCTATTTTTTTTTTTTGAGACAGGATCTCACTCTGTCATCCAGGCTGGAGTGCAGTAGCATGAACACAGCTCACTGCAACCTCAACCCCCAGACTCAGGTGATCCTCCCACTTCAGCCTCCTGAGTAGCTGGGGCTACAGGTGCACACCACCATGTCCAGCTAACTTTTGTAATTTTTTGTAGAGATGAGGTTTCGCCATGTTGCCCAGGCTGGTCTCAAACTCCTTGCCTCAAGCAATCCACCTGCCTTGGCCTTCCAAAGTGCTGGGATTACAGGCATGAGCCACCATGCCCAGCCTGCCTGATTCAATATAAATATTATAAGACTTTATAAAGAACATGTAACACAGTAACTGAATGTGTTTAATTAAAAAGGTGTTCAATAAAAATGTATGAAATAGCATTTTGAATTATGATGGCATTTCTTTATTTTTTTTAATTGACAAAAGTTACATATATTTTTGGTATACAACATGATGGTTTGAAGTATGTATAAGTTGTGGAATAGCTAAATCAAGATAATTAACATATGCATTACCTCACACACATATTTTGTGTGTATATGTATGTGTGTGTGTATATGTATGGTGAGAACACTTAAAAGTCTACTCAGCAATTTTCAAGTACACAATACATTGTTATGAAACATAGTCATCATGATAGCAACACATTTCTTGAATTTATAAACTGCCTCTTAAGTGTGAATAAGGAAGGGTTTCTTTCAGATCACCATGAACCAAACGAAAATAATTACAATTAGATAATTAACAAGTCATTATTTTTAAAATATCTTGAACTTGTTACCCCTGAATAACTGAAATTTTGAATCCTTTGGCCAGTGTCTCCACAGTTCTCGCCTGGCCCTTTCTCTTCAAAGCCCGTGATCACCACTGCTCTGCTCTCTGCTTCTGTGAGTTCAACTTTTTCAGTGAGATCATGTGATATTTTTCTGTGCCTGGTTTATTTCACTTAACACAATGTCCTCCAGGTTCATCATGTTGCTGCAAATAACAGCATTTTCTTCTTTTTAAAGGCAGAGTAGCATGCTATTGAATGTGGCGTGTAAATATACTTCTTCATCCATTTGTCTGTTGACGGGCACTTAGGTTGACTCCATATCTTGGCTATTGTGAATAATATTGCGGTGAACATAAGAGTACAGATAACTCTTGACATGTTGATTTCATTTCCTTTGGATACGTAACCACTAGTGGGGAGGCGAGATCGCATGTTAGTTCTATTTTCCATTTTTTGAGGAATCTCCATACTCTTTGGCTGTACTGATTTACTTTCCCACCAAAAGGGATCCATGTAACAAGAGTTTCCTTTTCCCTAAATCCTTGCCAACACTTGGTATCTTTCTTCTTTTTATAATGGCCATTCTTACAGGTATAAGATGATAACTCATTGTGGTTTTGACTTGTGTTTACTTGATGATTAGTGATGTGCAACATCTTTTCAAACACTTGTTAATCATTTGTATGTCTTCTTTTGAGAAATGTCTATTCAGGTCTTTTGGCCATTTTTAATCAGGTTGTTTTATTGTCACTGAGTTGTTTCTGTTTCTTATATGTATTGGATGTGAATCCATTATCAGATGCATGGTTTACAAATATTTTCTCTCATTCTATAATTTGCCTCTTCACTCTGTTGATTGTTTCCTTTTTGAAGCTTTTTAGTTTGATTTACTCTCATCTGTCTATTTTTGCTTTTGTTATTTGCCCTTTTAGAGTTGTGTCAAAAAAAATCATTGCCTAGACCAATGTCATAGAGCTTCTTCCCTATGATTTCTTCCAGTAATTTTGCAGTTTTATATCCTAAATTTAAGATTTCAATCCATTTTGAGTTGATATTTGTGTATAGTGTGGGATAAGGATCAAATTTCACTCATCTGCATGTGGATATCCAGTTTCCCCAACGACTTGATTGGAGACTGCCCTTTCCTCATGGTGTTTCTGGCCTCTTTACTGAAAATTGATTGATCATAAATTCATGAACTTCTTTCTGGG